ATTATTATGCTTACAATCACTTAATAAAATTGTTTTTTTTTATATAGGTTTCAATAATTTCAAAGCCCTTTACAATTTTTTAAAGTATAATTATAAGGCATAAATGATATAATTTAAGCTCAAAAAATCAGTTAAATAAATTTGTTTTAAAATTGACTTTTTGAAAATGTCTATAAAATTTTGCTTCACATAATTTAAAACTCTAACTTCTTTTCTTTATCTATTTCTAGAAAAATAACTTGATTGTATAACTTTAGATCTTTCAAAATTTATTATTATAGATTTCTAAACAATTTTATTTTGAAAATTTAGTAACTTTTCTAGAAAGTAACATTATCACGTCATACAAAGAGCACAAATGTAAGATTTCTAATTAATTCTATAAAGCAATAAAAATTTATACCTGAGCTCTGAGTAGATGACTATGAACATCGAATTCATCTAATAATAATGTTTTACCAATGCAATGAACCATCATGCTGATATGTGACTTACTATATGGAATCTTCAATAATTTTTTGATATTCTGTAAAGTTTTAAAAATATTTAACTAAATATTCTAAGATCAAATTAATTAATTTATGACTGTATCAAAATTTCATACCTCTGAATCTGATATAACATCTACTTCTCCTACACAGTCTGGAAAATTATGCGCTAGATGAAAACTAAAAATACAAATTTAAAAATTATTGCAACAGCCGCATTCAGTTTCAAAATTTTTATTCTTGTGTAAACTGTTTCTGGATTTTTATACAGTAATACCCCAAATTTATGCGATAGGTGGGACCGAGTGATAACCACGTAAGTCGAATTCGCGTAAGTCGGGGTATAATTTTGTAATTTGTGTAAAATCCATATCAGACATATGTAAGCTAATAAATGTTCTCATTAATCTTATCTCGTCTTTTGATTCGTTCCCGGTTACAAGAAATTACCACATAGAGTCTCTCAAGTCTCTGTAAATATAACAAACACAGAAATAAATAACATAAAAAAAATTGTAGCTATGTGTCGATTCCGCGCGACACGTCCAAATATATAAGCTAAACAATAGTATGAGGGGAGTGAGTAATCAAGAGTTGCGTGACGCTCAAACAAAAGATGAATTGACGAGATTCGAAAATTGCGTAACTTCGGGTTTGCATAAGTCGGGGTAGCGTAAGTCGAGGTATTACTGTACTTTAAATATTGGTTTGCATATCTTATCTCAGATTTAAAAAATATATTATACTACGTTATTTCTGTTTTACCTGGAAAATGTTGTAGAATGGCTTCTTGGGTAAGCCCAACGTCCCCATCGTCCCTTCCATTTAGCCTGGCTTCTAAGCCAATTTGATGGTGGTTGATTCAGATCAGTATTGCTGCTCAATTCCATATAACGAGCGGGTGAATCTACAGCTGAGCATTTTACTACTGCCGTTGATTTCACATCTACACATATTTCTGATATGTCCTCGGAATGTGTAGTGATGCTTTCCTATAATATTTATATAAAATTTAAATATTTTACTTAATTTTATTAATATTATTATTAATTTATTTATTTAGAAAATTCAAAAGAAAAAAATTCAGTAAATATTTTACATTTGTTAAATTTAAAATACATTTTATTAATTATAAGCTTTATTATTAAAGTGTAATGACAACATTATTTACTTTATATCACTGTATTTAATCAAACTTAATTTATTTTTTTGTCTTTTTTCACTCTAACAAGAATGATTTTAACCATAGAATCATCAATTTGGCCAAAATTTACGTATACAAAAAAGTACATCTTAAATGAATTAATTAAATACCTAAAAGACAGATTACATCTCTGAAATATTCACAAAAAAATCAAATATGCATTAATTACTTAAAGCCTATTAACCCAGCATTTCGTAATATCCATTAATCCAACATGCTCAAGATTTATCAAAGCTCAAGAAAGGAAATAGGACTATGTGGTTATGAAAATACTTGCATTATAATAAAGAGGAAAAAGCTAGGTTCTGAACTTTCTACAAAAATAAAATCATATTACATATAGAGCCCAGTTATAAATACAGTAGCGCCTTGTGCCTTGAATTTAATTCATTTCAGGAAGCCATACAAACTGAATTGTTTTAGATCTTAACAAGTTTTACCCATTTAATATAAAGTGAATTAATCCATTCCCAGACTCTAAACAAATACCCATTTCAATACACTAAATTAAACAATAAATACACCACTAACTTCTTAAACATTTAAACATGATTGCAGATTCATCACACATGTACCACTTTCATGCTTTCACAATAAGTTCCTTGTCCTTTTTTCACCTCAACTGTCAATACCAGAGCCTCATCTTAGGCTTTGTTGCACTCTTCTTGAATGCCATAGTTACTAGGTAGAGGTTATAAATATATATAAAACACACCAAAAATAAAGCTGAAAAAGCACTGAAAATACAAAAGATGCTTTCACAGCAAGACAGAGAGAAGACTTGAGCACAAAACAGATGGCATTTATGCAGCGAGTATATTTTTTCACTGTCCCTGCAATGTATGTAACATGTTTACAAATTTCCTGATTATGTGACAGATGTTTAGTATGGCAGCTTTCTGCAATGTATGTTTCTAGACTTTATATAAGAGTGTGTAATATGCCTGTGCAAGAAAGGACTAGAATAATAAGTACCTCATCCAGTTTACACAGATGCTTTACTTTGTTGAGAAGTTCTGAGTATTTATTCAATTTCTTTAGTGTAGACATTTTGCATGTTGTGGGTGTTTAGTATAGCTTTATTATTATACAGGGTTTCCCATAAATTATCCACCATTTTTTCTTGTGTAACTTTTCTACCATATAACTTTCTTAAAATTAATATTGTTTAATTCTGACATCTACCATTTAAACAATCATTTATCATATTTTTAAATAATTTTTAGCATGCACATCCAACAGGCATTTTTCTAATGGATGCTTATAGTATTAAACATGAATAAGCAAAACAGGTTAATTCAAGAACTTCTACTTTATGAATTCTGGATCATAAAGCAACTGATGTTAATCAAAACATTGTGTTGCAAAAGGTGCACAGAAGTGGATGGAAGAATGTCATCAATTGCTGAAAAATCATTATGATGATTGCTTCATCAAACATATTGTAATATGTGATGAAAAATGGATTTTCTTCTGAAATCCAGATATGCAAAAACAATAATTAAATTCAGGCCAGTTTCCAAAATCCATTACTAAATGATACAAGTTTGAATACAAAAGCGACATTGCATATTTGATAAAAGTTTGAATGGCTAATATATTCCAAGTTTAATTTGGTCACGGCTTAACTGCTAAACTTTACTCCTCCCAACTTGTATATACACTGCATTGGCACAACAAATCCTGCTTTAGTCAATTAAATGCATTTTGCTGCAAAGAATAAAGCATCACCACATATAACAGGAACAAAAGTTGAGATCTGAGAACTGGAACTTTTACCACACCTTACCTAAAGTCCCAATCTTGTACCATTGGATTACTAATTTTTCCAATCAATGGCACAATTTTTACATGAATGATGCTTCCATAATCTGAAGCAAGATTGCAGTGCACAAATGTTTTGGTATCAAAGAATATACAATGGTACATTCTTTAAAGAAATACAAGAGTTGACTGAAAGATGGATACAGACCATAGATAATAATAGTCAGTATTTTGAACAACAGAATTACTTTATGTAATTTTTATAATAAACAAATTTCTTATAACTACAGTAAATGACTGATAATTGATGGGACATTCTCTGTATCTGATTGACTTTTTCTTTGTTTAATTGATGTTATTCCTATTCGAAAATTGGTACCATCCCCCGTATAACTAGGTACTTTTATAGCACGGATTCACTCTGACACGGTTGGAGAAATGGGTAAAACCCTCATACAACATGAAATGTAATAAATTTTTACATACTTAAGTACTAATAGTTCACGAAAATTATTATTTTCGTGAACTATTAGTACTTCAGTGTGTAAATTNTCATCTTAAGGCTTTCAGAGAATAAGTTCCACATCCATAACTACTCTAAGCCCCATTCTCATCTATCTGGTCCATGATTGCATCCAATAAATATTTCTTATTATGGGCTATAAGTGGAATTATATATACTGATGGAATTTCCCACTATCCCTCTTGTATCCACAATTATTAAATGCAGAATATTTTAAGAAATCTATATATCAGTGAGAGTGATAGATAATATATACATCAGTGAACTTTTATAATACAAGTAACTCCCGTATAACACGGCACTTCTATAGCACGGATTCACTCTAACACGGTTCGA